ACTAGTCTTGCTGCTGCTGCGGCGGCGCGTCGGGGCCGGCGTCCGGGGTGCCGCCAGGTCCGAGCAGCTGCTCTGGCCGCTGCTGCGTGAGCCATGTACCGCAGCGGTGCGCGCTCCTCGGGTTCCTCGCACCGGCCTAAGGACAGCGGCGGGGGCGGGTCGCGCACTGGCCGCAGCTCCGGGTCTTCTTCAGGCTCGGCTCGCCGCGCCTCGCCGCCGCCCTCTAGTTCCTCCTCGTCGCGGACCCCGGCCCACAGGCCCCGCTCGCCTTCAGGGCACCGCAGCCGCCGGGCCTCGCCTTCCCCGCCAAGGGGTCGCCGCTGCTCCCCGTCCCCGCCCCGCGGCCGCCGGGCCTCGCCGACTCCGCCGAGGGGTCGCCGCGGCTCCCCTTCCCCACCGCGGGCCCGTTGCAGCTCCCGGTCGCCTCTGCGGAGCCGACGACTCTTCCCGGCGGGCTTCAGAGGCAGCAGCCGGGGGGAGTCCCGCGCCGACTTCTCCCGGGACGGCCGCGGAGACCATCCAGGCGACAGCGGCAGCCGGGTAATTCCACTCCGCCTGGGCTCCCCGGGCCCCGGGGTTCTGGCTTCCAGAAACGCCCGGAGCGGAGGCCTCCAGGCCAGACCCCCAAAATCCAGGGCCGGCCCCCCGCCTCATCTCCCTCAGCGACGTGGGGAGCCCCTGCCACCCCAGGAGCTGCATTTATAGAATAACGGACTTGGGCCTCTCAGGCCCGGGTCGGGGGGGTGTGCGCCTTTGCATTGGAACCGGCTGTTCCGCTCCCTTAGGGTGCAGAGTGGAAGAAAAGTTTTCTTCAGGCCTGGGGCGAGGAGGAAGGGGCTCCTCCAAAACCTTGAGCGGCGTAGTTTCTTGATAATTGACGTTAGCCCAAAATCCAGGGGTGTTGAGTCAGTCCCGTTAGAGCTGAGCCGCCCAGGCCCCAGGAGGAGCTAAAAATGTCCATCTTTGTGGAAAGGAGGGAATGCGTCAGGCGGATCAAGGTAGCTAGTGGAAAATACTAACTACTTTGATTGGAGCTGCGTCTCCAAAATAAAGTGTGCATAAACCACAGTCATGATAATAATTACCATCTCTGAGTTACTTAGCAGGAGTTCCACTTCATACCTTCTCTTTTCATCCTCAACCCCATAACCTGAGGCAGTTAACATCATTCCTTAGCTGAGGGAGTCCAAGGAGTTTTCAGAAGGGTTGACCAAGAACACAGAGATAAGACTGGCGGCCCAGTCAGTAGTGCCTTGTGCTGCTAATTCAAAAGTGACACTTTTCTGGCGGTTCGAATCCACCTGACCCTCCAGGGTAGAAAGATGGCCAGTCTTTGATGCACTTTACAGACTTGGAGAACCCACTGGAGCGTCGGCTGTGAGTCTTCCGACTATAAGAGCGAGTGAAGGTGTGATGGAGTTGTGATTTCAGTTCTGCCCAGTTCCCCTAAAGCCAAGATTTTAATTACTCAAGGGAAAGCCGATGAGGAGTTTAGACATAAGTCTCATGATAACCACCACTATAGTAGAGCCAGTCTTGGGTGATAAGGAATTTTATTTTCCATTCACCAGACTTTTTAATTGGGCAACAATATTTCTAAATTTTTGAGTGACTATCTAACATGCATTCAAAGTGATTGGTTTATCACCTTGTGAAGATTTTTAAGGTTATATGTACTCAGAGTAGTGTCAGTGTGGAGGTCATTCACTTCAAAGGAAGAAACTTGCTTGTTCTCACATCCTCCCTCCCTATCTCCAATGCAGTTTGTTAGCGTCAGGCTTCTCAGTAAATGGCTTCACCAGTTGCTCATTAGAAACAGTCGTCTTTGTCTTTTTTCTCACAGAGTCGAATCTATTAGCAAGCGTGTCAGCTGCAGCTCCGAATATCTACTGATATATCTACTGAACCTCTTCCTTCTTCAATTCTTAATTGTTGTATGCTGTCAAGTTGGAACTGACTCATAAACTAGCCTTTGGCAGGTTTTGAGCCCTTGAGTCAGAATCAACCCATAGCTGACCCTTCAACAAGTTTTTAGAGGTAGTTAATCACAGGGGAGGAGATTGCCCATCTTTCACCTACAGAGAAACCAGTGCATTCAAACCCCGTGTCTTTCCGTTAACAGCATGGCTCCTTACCACTAGGCCACCAGAACTCCCTAGCGGGTTTATAGAGGCTTTATATCACGTGGAAGATTGTCTATCCTGCATGTGCAGCTAGTGGGTTGAATTACTTACCTTTGGGCCTCACAACCCTTTAACACTAGGTCACCCACCCCTGTAAATTCTTGCCTAGTGTGGCCTAGTCAGTAGAGTTGGGCTACTAACCCCCCAAAAAAGACATCTCTTGGGCTATTTTAGTGCACTAGCACCTCTGAAAGGTGGTTCAGTCTCATCCCTTGTGATTTACAGGCTCTGGAAAGAGAGCCGAATATGTGTCAGTTCTGACTTGATGGCAGAGATAGAATTCTTGCCTGGAGTATACATTAGGCTCTTTTACTCTTGCTACCTACCTGTTTATTATGTGCGCAGCAATCAAAATATTTTTATACATTTGACAAATATGTATTCATAGATATATGTCTATAGATCTGTGTAGTGTTTCTTAACTGGACAAATATTTTTGAGGGTCTTCCATGTATTAGACACTTGTCTTGGCCCTAAGGATACAGTAGTGAACAAATCCGATGGAAAAATCTCTCCCCTTGTAGAACATACTGGTCTAGCAGGAGAAGCTTGTTAAGATCAAGAAGTAAAAGGCTATGTCACATTAAATGTGATTAAGTGCTAAGAAAAAAATAAAGCAGAGAAGGAAATTAAAATTTTTTATAAAGAAGACTTCCTGAGAAATATGGCTGCTCAGTAAAGACGTGAAAGAGATAATGGTGTGAGCCACACAAGCCCTTAGAGGAAGACTGAGCATTCTCCTACTTCAAACCCGCTTGTGGCATTTTGGTTAGAATAAAAACTGTGGCTTCTGCCTGTGTTCAGCCTGGGTGTCCCTTTGCTCTAGCTGTCCTGGCTCTGTTGCTTAAAACACATGAAGCTCCTTATCAAAGTTGATTTTCTCTTTGCCTGAAACACTGTGTTCTTTGCCACGCTGACATCGCACTATTCCTAGTTGGTAACATAATGTTCCCTCAGAAAAACCTTCTTTAGCCATCCATTCTAGCTAAAGTAGCCCTTTTGTTTTCTCATTTGTGTCACTTTTATGTTTTATAGCCCTTTTGGGGGAAAACCCCCCTGATTTTAGCTTATGCTGTTCACTAGAATGTATAGGTTCTGAGAGCAGAGACTTTTTTAGTTCCTCTCTTCCCATGCTCAGTCCTACTAAGTGAGAGAATGCAGCGTCACTGATTGGGATGGTTAGAAGTATGGGCTTTTCTCTCTCTTTTTTTAAAAAATTATATTAGTTTACATAAAAAATTTGTATACATTATTTCCTTTGTTCACATTGTGTGAACATATAATCATTCCCATACATTGTGCTTTATAAACTTAATCCCCATTGAATTATGCCCACCATTACCCCATCTTTTCAGATCCCTGCTGGATCTTTTGTCTTTTAAGAAAATGATTCTCTTTTAAAACCTCATTATTTTTTAGACTAATACTTTACCATAGAGGTACCTTGGTGGCATAGTTGTTAAAGCACTCAACTGCTAACTGAAAGGCTGGTTGGTAAGATTGGTTGTTAAAACCTGTCAGCTAATAAAAAAACCCAACCAAACAAAACCAACTACTCTTCTTGAGAAGGATGTACCATCTGCTTCTGTAGATATTTATAACTTTGGAAACCCCAATAAGACAGTATTTCTTGGCCCTGTAGGGTCTCTATCGGTCATAATTGACTAGTGATGGCAGTGAGTTTGGTGCAATCTTATAATAATTTCTCAGCTTGTTGGATCAACACTGTGACTAGAGAGAAGAGCATTTTTAGACACAGGGATGCCTTGACCTTATTTGATTACCCTTATTTATTTAATTTACTTTTTTTATTTCAATGAACATCTACAGAGATTTTGGAATTCCATTCATTCATTGTTGCACTTTTCCCCCCCCCCCCACTGATTACCCTTTTATCTTTTACTTTTGTAGAGACACTCTCCTGGTCTGCGTTCTGATTCTTCCTTGGAACAGAGTTTAAGGATCACTGTTGGCAATGATCACTTCTGTGTTAACACACCAGAACGACGGCGGCTTAGTGATCGGCTGGGGTCACCAGTGGATAATCTGGAGGATGTGGACAGGTAGGCTTTACCCAAGATAAAGTGTAGTCTTTCAGTGTAGGAACCTAACTGTTTGGTGAGTGTTCTATTTGAAAGGATAGTGCTATCATTGACGTTACGTTCTATAATCATGTGTCAATTATAAAATACCGCAGTGGGAGAGCCTTTCTAAGAAATGAGGAATATGCTGATGTGGACTGTGTTGTTAAATGAACTGTGTATACTCCTGACCCAGGAAGACTAAGGAAACTTGTTGTGTGCAGTTGAGCTGGAATTGACTCATAGTTGACCCTCTAGCCGGTTTTCAGAGGCTGTAAATTGCACAGGAGGAGATTGCCTGTCTTTCTCCTGTGGAACAGCTGGTGGATTGAAGCCATGGGCCTTTGGTTTGGCAGCGAAACTCCTTACCACTAAACCTCCAGAGCTCCCTAAGGAGAAAGAGATATAGATTCCCTTAAATTTTAAAACAAAAAAAATGATTATATATGTTTTAAAATACTGGAACTAGGGGTCATATTTGAAAAAAAGAAGTTCTGAGTAGAATAGGAAATAATTTTTTAATGGTGATGTTTTCATCTCTGGACTGAAATACAGATTCAGAAAGGGTTTAGGTAAATGTGTATTTACTATACATATGTTTATTAAACTTATAAGGCATTTATTGTTGTTGTGTACTCTTAAGTCAGAACCAATTTATAGCTGACCTACGAGTTGGTTTTCAGAGGCAGTTAATAACACAGGAGGAGATTGCCCATCTTTATCCTGAGGAGCTACTGGTGGATTCAAACTGCATGTTTTTGGATTAGCAGCACAGTTGTTTACTGCTAAACTACCAGAGCTCCCTAAAGCATTAATAGAAAGTTAAAAATCTTTACAAATATCTGTTTATTTTTTACTTTACAGCTACTGAGAGTTTAGGAGGTGCAGATATAAAAAAAACAAAAAAAAAAAAAGGAGGTGCAGATATGTTCCATACAAACTTAAATATAGACCTCATGTCCTAGAAAGTTAATTATATATGGAAAGTAAATAATCAACATTGGATTTTTATTTTACATTTTTACACTTTGTCTAATTGTCTTAACTGTGAGGATGGGAAGGGAGGCAAAGCAATCTTTCTGAAAATTAAGAACATGTTTTGTATCATCTGTGCCTACAACACACTGGGAGTATTCACAAATGATTAACAACAACATCAAGTCTCCATAATGCTCTTTTAAACAAATTGTCCATGCATCATGGTGTACCGCACACAAGTAGGCAGGGTAGGTACAGCTGGGCAGGAAGTCTGAGGATGAGGACCAATGCTGCACTTGGGTAATATTTACTTCAGAGTTCCAGTGGCTGTGGACTAAGTAACACAAAATAAGATAGTCCTATGTCCTATATATCTGACTTCTGAAAATATAGCCTCAAATTATGTGACTATGTCACTTAATTGATAGAGTTGTTCTTGCCTTGCTGGCTGCTTCTATTTTTGAGAGATGGTTGAAGAGGCATTCTGGGTAGATGATTCATGGTGTGAATCTCTTCCTTCTTTGCTGAGGTTTTGAGGTAAGTTTAGTATTTCCTCTTGTTAAACCTAGGGTGTCACCTCCCCTTTGTATAAGCTTTGATATGCATGTGGTCTTCAGATAACCAATTGTGTGCTTGAAGTCATGAAAACAAAATTTAGGAAGTTTGCAGTTGTAATTTTTCTTAGAGTTAGATGTTAGATAAAATGAAGTTAAGCTTTTGAAAGGCAGTGCTTTGCCTTTTACTCCGTGCACATTTGTGTTCCTTTCTACTTGTGTGGTTTATGTAGGTATAATTACTATTCACCAAAACCACGTCACAGGAATGAAGCCACAGGATTCTCAACATACCCATATAGCTTCTGATAGTGAGCCCAGTCTTAAGCTAGTGCAGCAATCCATTGCCATCGTGTATCCATAAACACTTCGCTCCTACTCCTCACCAGGCCCTCATTTATTTGTTTATTTAATCTTCCTTTATTGAATCTGGGAGCTTAACTCCATAAAGAGTTGAGCTGCTAACCCAAAGGCCTTTGGAGCTTCAAATCTGTCAGTGACTGGACAAAAAATGAGTGCTTTCCTCCTGGAGATTTACAGCCTCAGAAACCTAATAGAGGGTCAGCTATGAATCAAATGAGTTTTTGAGGTTGTTTTTACTTTTTTTTTATTATTATTATTATTCTTTGTGTGTGTATCGTCAAATTGGATCTGAATGGTACAGGAGATTGCCCCTCCTTCTCCAGCAGAGCATCTGGTGGATTCAAACCATGAAGAGTTTTTGAGTTTTTATTAACTCTCTCAAACTCTGTATCAGATTTGAGTCAGAGCCAAGATACCAAAGTTGTTTCTGGTCTGCACTTGGCAGGACTGTAACTTACTCTAAAAAGGGAGCATGAACATGGTATTTGGCATAGTCCAAGATGCTTACCTTCTAAAGACTTGTGAATGTGAAGCTCATTTCTTCTGCATGTCAAAAAACCTCTATACATCATATATGTAGATATATGGAATTCTTCTCTCCCAACTTCTCCTTGTCTCTAACATAGCTTGAAGTCAGTAGGAATTTTTTTGCTCTTGTTATTTGCTTTAGGGTAAAAGACAAAAGGAAACTGCTTTCTTGAGGCTCTTTGGAGAGCCAGCAAAAGAAACAATGAGGAGTTGGACTTTGAAGAACCTTTTGTTTTTTTCTTACCGTGTGCATTTTTAACAGATTTGTTGAAATGAAATTCATACACTATATATATAGCTCACTCACTAAACTGAGGAGGACCTGAAGCGCTTGCTGCTGAGGGTCTGGGACTGCAGCCTTCAATATGGATTGAGGCTCAATGTCAAGAAGACAAAGATTCTCACCACTGGACCAATTGGCAGCATCAGGATAGATGGTGAAGAGATAGAGATTGTTCACAGCTTTAGTCTGCTTGGCTCCACAATCAACACTCTTGGCACCAACAGCCAGGAAATTAAAAGACGTATTGCCATGGGAAAGTCTGCTGTTAGGGACCTCTCTAAAGTACTCAAGAGCAACGGTGTGTCTCTGGAGACAAAGGTGCATCTGGCACAGGCCATGGTCTTTGCAATCACTTGTTATGCATCAGAGAGCTGGACCATGACCACGGAGGATAGAAGGAGAATAATTGATGCTTTTGAGCTTTGGTGTTGGAGAAGAGTGCTGAAGGTGCCATGGACTGCTAAGAGAACAAACAGATTCATCCTGGAGAGGGTTAAACCGGGCTGCTCCTTGGAGGCAAGGATTCTGAGGCTTCGCCTGACATACTTTGGTCATGTTGTAAGAAGAGACCGGTCTTTGGAGAGGGACATCATGCTTGGGAGGGTGGAGGGCAGGCGCAGGAGGGGAAGGCCCTCTGGGAGATGGATTGATTCGGTGACTGGGGCAATCAGAATGAGTGTGTCGGAGACAATGAGATTGGCACAGGACAGAGCAGAGTTTACAGCTGTTGTACATAGGGTCACTATGAGTCACAAGCGACTCGATGGCACATAACAACAACTAAAGTGTACAATTCAGTGACTTAGTTTATTCATAAAGTTATGAATCTACCACTATAACTGATGTTAGGACATCTTCATTTAAAAAAATACAAACTACCCCCCTGTAACCAATTTTAGAACATTTTCATTAAAAAAAAAACAAAACAAAACCACCCCATACTCCTTTACCACTATCCCTCAGTCCCCTCATGCCCCATCCCTATCAGCTTTCTTTTTATAAATTTTCATATTCTAGATATTTTGTATCCAGAATTTATATTTATATCGTAAATCTGTATATAAATATAGTTTATATTACTACATAGAGTATTAACAAATATGATCTCTTATGACTAGTTTCTTTCACTTAGTGTTTTCTTGGCTGATCCATGTTGTCACATCTACCATTATTCTCTTTTATTGCTGCTAGTATTCATCATCTATTGTTGTTTGCTATTGAGTTAGAACCAACTCATAGCTGATACTACAACAGGTTTTTAGACACAGTAAATCCTACAGGAGAAGATTGCCCATCCTTCTCCTGCAGAACAGCTGATAGATTCGAAACACATGCTTTTGGCATTGCAATGTAGCTTCTTAGCACTAGGCTACCAGAACTCTCTGGATATACCATGTTCTTGTTATTGTTATGTGTAGAAGTCTCTTATGGCTCATAGCGACACTGTACAACAGTTCTGAATCCTGCTCTGTCCTGAGCCAACTTCATTGTCTCTGACACAGCTACCTCCATTACCTCAGTCAGTTAATCCATCTCATCAAAGGTCTTCCTCTATTGTGCTGTCCCTCTACCCTTCTAAGCATGATGTCCCTTTCCAAGGACTAGTCCCTTCTTGCAACATGCCTAAAGGATATACCATATCCAAATTAAAATTCATTATCCAGTTGAATTTGAATTCATATCTAAATTCATTGTCTAAATATACTATATTTTGTTTATCCCTTACTTGGTGGTAAGCATTTGAATTTTTTCTATTTTTTTGCCATTTTAAATAATACTGCTGTAAGCATTCATGTACAAGTTTTAAGTAGAAATAGATATCAGGTTGTCATTTATATATATATA